CTGCCATCAGAGCTGAATGGCATGAATTAAGTGCAATGGGAGAATAACGTGTACAAACTTCCATGATAACCATGCAAAGTAACCAGTCCACATAATTTGAAGAGACACAAACCCAACTTAAAAGAAGAGATTTCTTTTAATGGTACTAGTTAAACACCACGTTAACATCATTCAAGAGAACATCTACTTTGCCTGACTGTGTGAATGGCGGGTGTGAGAGTGTGTGTGTGCGTGTGTGAGAACTGCTGTTGTATACCTACACAGGTCACTTACTGAAAAATGACTTTTGTTATCAAGACTTTGTTGTATACCTGAGAAGTTACTGTATGGAGGAAATAACTAAGCCTTAGGAGGTGGGTAATCCTGGATTCCAAATCAAGTTCCCCTATTAACTAGGTTACATAAACTCTCTGAGGCTAAGTATCCATAAAATAGGGATGATACCGCCAAAGAACTACTGAAAGAAATAAATAAGTTTAAGGTAATTAAAAATGATTCCCACCCCCATACCTTTTCCTTTCAGAATTCCTTTGGGGCACACAAAACAGTTTAACAAATATTTACAACGCACTTACTACTGTGTAAGGCCTTGTGACTGGATACTGCAGGAGATAAAGAGATTACAGTTGCTGTCCTCATGGAGTTTACAATCTTCAGAGGTTAAGATAGAGAAGAAATATGTACATGATGTTTAAACTTAAGAGATCCCATATCACTTTGAATATACAGTCACTTATCACTACAATGTAATCTCCTGGAATGTAAGAATTTACACCTAGCACTACTATGCTCCTGACTTAGTGAGCGTGCAAGCATGGGAAGAAAGGTAAGAAGAAAGGGAGAAACGAGTCCAATGAAATATACTGATTCATAAATTCTATTAAGTGCATCTTATTTCCAAAATACAGGAAGTTACTTAAGGTGCTTTTTTTTAGGGCAAGCAGGAGAAGGTAGGTAGCAGAAGGATTATCTTTTTAAAATGCTTTTTTAAACACATGCTTTAAAGGAAAGCATTTTTCCCATAAATTATAGCCCATTAAATAAATGAACACCTGGGCTTCCCTGGTGGCGCAGTGGTTGAGAGTCTGCCTGCCGATGCAGGGGACATGGGTTCTTTGACCCGGTCCGGGAAGATCCCACATGCCGTGGAGCGGCTGGGCCCGTGAGCCATGGCCACTGAGCCTGCACGTCCGGAGCCTGTGCTCCGCAACGGGAGAGGCCACAACAGTGAGAGGCCCACGTACCGCAAAAACAACCACAACAACAAAAAAAAAACGAACACCTTAAGGTTTTACTAACATAAGCTAATTTAAAATAAAAACATAGCATGGACCTAAAATACTGCCAGTATGATGCTCTGCTTCAGAGGCAGACAAACTACAGCCTGCAGCCTTTTTTGTACACCTGCAAGATAAGAATGGCTTTTACTTTTTTTTTTTTTTTTTTGACCAGAAGAAAGATGTAAAATTTATATAACAGATATAGTGGGGGACAATGGCCTAAAAATTTAGGGTTCTTGTGCTCCCCTACCACTCACTAGTTATATGACCTTGGGCATAATGCCTGTGTCCAGACCTTTGTCCTTATAGTAACAGGGGGCTGGCTGCTTGTTTTGTCTGCCTCCAAACAAACAATCATTTTTACATTTTTAAAGAGTTGTAAAAACAAGAGGAAGAATATAGTGGGCTTCCTTGGTGGTGCAGTGGTTAAGAATCCGCCTGCCAATACAGGGGACAAGGGTTCGATCCCTGGTCCCACATGCCGCGGAGCAAGTAAGCCTATGTACCACAACTACCGAGCCTGTGCTCTAGAGCCCATGAGCCACAACTACTGAGCCCGCGTGCCTACAGCCCGTGCTCCACAATGAGAGAAGCCACCGCAATGAGAAGCCCACGCACTGCCACAAAGAGTAGTCCCTGCTCGCGGCAACTAGAGAAAGCCCGTGTGCAGCAATGAAAACCCAACATAGCCAAAAATAAATAAATAAATAAATTTATTA